AAAATATTTTACAAATTTTGCATGTTGTTAAAATTTATAAATATAAAAGTATAAAGGTCCGACTTCCATCATTTCACGGTTAACGGTTGCAGTAAGTAGAGATATCAAAACCTAGCATGCAAGGCAATAGTTTTTTTGGGTTTTTTAAAAACATGTTTGTGCATACATGAATATCAGTGAAAAATAAAATCCTCTAATCATTTGTTTAAAAAAAGTTCTACCCTAGACAAATATCTAGGCTTGAACATCACCTTTCTACTGTTTCACAATGTAATGCCTCAAAGGGGCAAGGTAATACACACAACACACAGAGTCCTACACTGAGCAACTCATCACCACTCATAGATAACAAAAAAAAGAAATCAGAAGATCAAAGAAATTAAATTTCTTAAAACTTCCCATTGGTGAACTTGCTTAGCTGTGAAGAACCGATTTTGACTCCTTCGCAATTTTAGTACTGGAATTGTTGTAGACTATACTACACGGTACCGCAAGTTCATGTTAATTTCAAACCATGTAAAAAGTATGAAAAAATAAATCTAATTAATAAATAAACATTAATCAACTCATATCAAAACAGAAAATACAAATTTAGTTTACAAGTAGTGCCCTACATTTCAGGATATATATATATATATAACCAGCTAGCAGTACCATTCTACAGGAGTCCACAGAATCCTTACTACTTCTAACAGAAATACATTCTAAAAAAAAAACTGTCAACACCTCCTTGCTGGATTAATGTTATTTAAGAACACCCCATCATGAAATTTCTATAAATGTCGGAAGACAAATGTTCATTTTAAATACTTAGTGAAAAACACTTGTACCCTTTGCAGCCCCATCCTGCATGGGCATCTTTAATTGAAATTCAACTCCTGTTTTAGGAATATCATTATGAATTTTTGTTTACACTACTTCTATAGATCTACATTTGTATTTATAATGGATAAGTTAGAATATAAGCTCAAGTACATTATACACTAAACACAAATCCAACAGCAAGAATGATGTCAGTTCCATTTTTCTGTCCAAGGTCATCTTATCCTGGCCAGTATTACTTGGAATACCTATATACATCTGTACCTGTTGGCTTTTAGTAGAACTCATCTGGGCTAGCTAAGCTGGAGAATCACATGTAATACTCGGTTATAAAAGGTACAGAATTTTTCCCCTGAAGAATCACAGATATGATCTGAGAGTACCGACCTACGAAAGGCAAAAGGTGTGAGGTATAATCCTTTAACGCTCAACCAGTATGTTTCCAATATGAGGTAGTACAATCCTCAGCTTAACTGTTTCTATGATTAGCAATATTGAACCAATTGTTTTCTGATGGAAATCAAAACCATAATCAGGTTTTTTGTCAGCGAGAACCAAATTAGACTTCATTTGAACATCTAAATATAATTCACAACAGAAAATGAATTTCTCACTATTCAGGACTAGCAATCACCATCACAAAATGTCCATGCACCACACTGTGTATTGAAAACAACCAAGAAAACTTTGTATAAATAAGGCAAAACAAGGCTTTTTTAAGAAACGAAAGTAATATAAAAATAGATACATACGGTACATATACATAATTTACTACAAACTGTGATATCTGTAAATAAACAAATAAAGGCAAAGTCATTACCTATTCATTCAATAACAAAAGGCACCGATATCTAAAAATGAGCCTATGTGTTGCACATAGATAATTTAATTACTGTATATTTCGTAAATTAGCTGTCACCGACTTTACGGATCGTGACACCTGCAGTACTATGAGGAGTAATTATCAATGGTTCTGCTAAAAGCCAACTCGTCTACCTGCTATTTTTCTGTACCTGATCTGTACTGACCAGTACTATATGTAACCATTAATCACAGACATGCTACACTCTTCTGTAAGGTACTTATAACAGCCAACCCTGGCTCCCTCTGGACATCTTACATGCAGAAATGTTTATGCAAAATATTTATAAATTGCTACAAAGTACTGATTTTCCAGATGATTTTTTTTCAAATAAAGCTACTGCATGGACATTTTTTTAAACAAACACTGAATATCAAATAAAGAACAAAAATTAACAAAAATAAGGTAGTTATTTTCAGGTGTTAAAAATATATTATAACTTAAATGTTAGTATCTTTATTTTTACATTATAATTTTGTTTGGTATGATCATTCTGGAATGCAAGGTGGGGGAATTCTACATATAAACAACAGTCACTAAATAATTGACATTTAAATATCGTTTTATATATTTTGTATAACAAAATTCCTTGAACAGAGCTACAAATATTTAGAATATGCTTCCATTTTTTTTGACTTCATTTTCACAGACAGATCTGAATAGAAAAAGAAACATTCCGTTAATTTCCCCATTACGTAGACAAATGTAGGTTAATTGTTGAACTAAAGAAACATCTGACCGGAGTATAACGGCAGTTGTAGACAGCATTTCCCTACAGATCTACACCTATGTAAACCGGCAGTGGAGAATCACAGAAATACAACATTGCTTGTATCAACACAGATAACAGACAGATGGTTAATCAATTTAAAAGTACAAAATACAATAACATATCAACAAAGAAATTAAAAAATATAAATTAAGCTTTCCTTTTTTTTTCCATACAAAACAATAGCACCTTAAACAAAAATAAGTCTACCTTTTACATTTTTTTTTTTTAACTATTTTGCATCCACTATTTACACATTTTTATGAAGTGTAATACAAAAACTGGAATATTACAAAGTGGAAATAGAAAGATACATGCTTCATAACACTTGTAACAATGAAATATGTGTACAATTTTGCTATTTCCGCTAATATACAATATTGGACAACATCAAGTTTGATTTTAAAATGATTTCCCTTATGCAATAGTAACAAAAATATGATTCAATCTTTATTTACTGAAATTATATTTGGCAGATTACAGATGAAATAATTATTTGTTTACATATAAAAAATGTTGAGAATAAAAATAAAAAGGCTTTCTTCTTTTATCATAATTGATAACATCGTAATTACAGACAGGTATCGTGTTTCAAACTGGAAGTGACATAATGACATTATCCGTAGATATTTATAATAACATTTTACAAGTAATGAACCCAATTCCATCCATTGGACAGATTATACAATACACAAAGACATCTATACCACACCAAACTAAAGTGTTTGGTATTCCTCCTCTATGATAAGACGCGAGTGACAGGGATAGCCTCTATACACATTAAAAAAGCTGTATACAATCACTGAAGGATAAATTTGTATGTAAGCATGCAGAAAATGTATGATATGTGAAAATATCTGGAATACACCATAATAAAACTCTGAATGTTTATAAATAGGTTATAATATACCGGTATGTGAAACTGGACTAAGGGGGATAACTTATAAAAGGTGTAACAAACTAATCTATTTTATATTTGAGCAAATGAAAACTATGAATTCTTATTCACTACAAATGAAGAAGTTATCTCCTGTTTTCCACAACCCAATTAGCTTTTTACAGGACATTTACAAATCCTTTCACACTTTACATATAAAGAGAAGTAAAAATAGTCACCATCTGTTGGTATTTAAATATTTTAATAAATTACACTCACACATTTTAATAATAAAAAGATCAAAATATATAAACAATCTAGCACTACAGTTTAATCATAAAAATCAAATGCTGGATTTTCATTTCTTCTGTTATCAAAGAGGCATTATTTTTCTATTTCGCTTCGGTATGTTAATACTTCTACAAGTCAATTCAGGCAAATTGAATATCTTTGCAAACATGATGGTGTCTAAATGTTTGATTCAATAAATAAGATTGTTATGTAGATTGAATTTATTTTCGAATATGTTCCTTATTTAACTCATTAACAAATATAACAAAAGTATTAATAAAATCAAATGATTCTTTTGCATAAATTTAAATATCCAGGACTTGAGTTGTAAATGACAGAAGAAATTATCCAAACCATACTCGTATTTAAGGTATCAGCAATTTTATAAATCGGAATTCTGCAAAGTTTCCAGGTGAAACATGATCACCAATGTGACAGAATGAGGTATTTTAAAGTTAGGACACCAATGACAAACCTTGATCTATCACAAATATAAAATAGTTTATGAATCTACAGAGAATTTGGCAGCTCTCTCACTTGATCAAGTGTATTCATGTTTTATAAACCTCACATTTTGTTATAAAAAAATGTCATTGAATATGAAGTGGAGAAAAAATATCTAAGATTGTTTCACCTTGCAGTAACTTCACACACAAACACACTGGCCTGCTAAATTATGAACATGAAACATGAAACATGAACCATACAAACTGGACAAAATCACAGTAGAAATCTGCTGAACACGACAAAAGATGTGTAAAACAGTAATTAGGAAACTAATTAACATATAACTTTGCATGCAATAACTTTTAAAATCTTGAATTTGCACAAAAGTATAAAAATGCCTATATAAACCTTTAAATACAAAATTTAAAATGCTGAAATCTATCAAGAACATGTTCCATCATAAGAAAATTCCCTGCAACATTTCTACATAGTCACAATTTCTATGTAGTACAGTACAATCCAGTAAAAAAACATCAAAATGACCAGAAAAAGTATGCCCACTGTCGAAAGTGAATTACTTAATTATGACTAGATAGTACTCATTAACTTTCCACAGGAAATCCTCTTGTATGTGTTAGATACCGTCCCAACAGTAGGAGTAGGCATACACCTCTGATTTCAGACAGGCTAGCTCCTCTTACACCCCCCTATATCGATGATATGCTGTAAGGTTATACACACCCGTCTTGTATAATGGGGGCGTGTTTACTTTCTCCTCCCAAAGACAGAGGTGGTTCTACTCATCCTGTACCATATTAGGTAAGCTAACATCTCCTTAATATATGGGCGATCAATTTCATTTTATTTTTTTTACATACTCCTAGAAGGAGTTAGTCTAATACCACTTGTGTAGAGGATTATAATTTTTGTATATACTATATACAGATGTAAGCATACTCTCAGAATGAGTAGTCTAACCCCTCATAGTTAGCCAAGCCAACCACCCTAACCCCTCATAGTTAGCCAAGCCAACCACCCTAACCCCTCATGGTTAGCCAAGCCAACCTCCCTAACCCCTCATGGCTAGCCAAGCCAACCACCCTAACCCCTCATAGTTAGCCAAGTCAACGACCCTAACCCCTCATGGTTAGCCAAGCCAACCATCCTAACCCCTCATGGTTAGCCAAGCCAACCACTCTAACCCCTCATAGTTAGCCAAGCCAACCACCCTAACCCCTCATGCTTAGCCAAGCCAACCACCCATCTAGTAGGAAAATTTCTATAAAGATGCTCACCCCTATACTGAAGGGCAGACTAAACCTCTGACTGCTTAACAGGGGCTGTGATTTTCTGACAGATTGTCTCCAGCCCTAGAACATACTCCCCTCTCTATGCAGATGGCCATGCCCATGTGCGTCTGGACTGGCTGCGTGAGACAAGTTGTCATTAATAAGTATAGTGCTAACAACATCAGTGTGGACATGTTGTCCACAAAAACATACAAAAATTGTAACCACAGCATACCTTTCTAACAGCAAATCAGTTGAAACTGACAGTTTTTCAACCACCTGCAAAAGTATGTTTATAGATGTATCTTACTCTTTACACAGACAATCTGCAAAGTGGCAAAATATAATTTCCAAATAAAAATATATTCTATTAAATAAGCAATATTTGAATAAATATGATACAAGGCAAATAAAAAAAGAGTTTGAAATCCCATAAACCATGGTAAAAGATTGAGAGAGACCTTACGACCCGATGAAAAGAGCAAATTCTACAACATACTTGATGATGTTGTGATGTTGTCGTGAACACAAGTTGAACAGCTTTTGGCAATACTGCTGTTCTGTACAGAACCAGACAACACACAATATAACTAAGAGCACTAGACATCTATAACCATACCTCTGCTAGGAGTTCAGGGCAAAGCTTATTACCCCTTGATCATGACTTCAAGTAAACACTTGTGGTCCTGTCAATTTGCCAGAGACAATCACAGTTTTGCAAGGAGACTGCATAAATATCAAATAACTATATCCACATAATGCTGTGGCAGTGCAGCACTGACGAAATCACAATACAATATTTGTAATAAATATATTAACTCTAAATTCTGACTAAAATAAAAAATATGGATAACAGAATATCTACAGATAAATATATAAATGTTGTTGTATCAAATGATCTCATAAATACTCCACATTTCAAAATCTAATCTGTTTCATCCCCTTTCCTCTAAATATTATAAATTAGCTTCACCAATTGGAACATTCCTCAATGAGGCATCTCTTCATTCTTCTCCAAAACATCCTGACCATGGCCTAACACCATCGAAACGGTACAGCTCTGGGTCGATCGGCGCCTTCTTTCACTAGTGGCTTATGAAATTCCCTTCCCGGCCGAGAGTGGATCTGGGCCCAACAGTGCTCACAGTAGTACTGTAAGCAGGTGACGTTTGCACAGAAGAACGGTGCAAACTTTCCTCCGCATCTGGCACCTTGGCACTCATCACACATTTGGTCGTCCAGCACGTACGGCTTAACCTCCACCTGTGATAACAAGATATAAAGAGTCTCAAATAATGACTTTGTATCCTGTAGGATAAGAAAAGAAAAGAAATCAGTCTTGTGGTATATCCTTTTGACAAAAATTGTATATTTATACAGTACCGAAAAACCAGGAACCCAAGATCCCCTTTTACTATTGCTGATGGCTGCAACAAGTTTCTCACAGGAAAAGTCACAGAATCTTAAAGAATTTTAACTATAACCATTTTCTTTCTTCAACAATCATCATTCATGAAACATTTATATATGTGCACTAAATTCCCACAGATTTTTATCACAAACTTATATCTTAAAAATAACGTTAACACTACCCTCGTCTCCTCTCTAATGAACGGGACACATTATCATCAATACTAGAATAATAAATCTGAAGTTGTGTAGTTGTTACTTTTACTTCCTTATCAAAATAAGTGATATAATTTACTTATACACATTGTATTAATATACATACCAGGTATACAGGTTTCTTATGTTGATATAGCAAAAGACGTTAGCATACAAAAAATATATAAAAATATTTTGTGGAAAGAGATATACAAGAGTGTTGGGTCCATGTTTCCTTTTTGATATATGTAAAATCATTGTTGTAGAAACTGTATATATACCCTTTTATCTATCTCGCCATGTTGGAGCTGGACAAATCTCGCACTGATAGCAGCAATGTAGCTCTGTTGATTAGAAAACGCCACTCGCCCTGCCCCCTTCGGATATTTCAGTTCTGGATCAGTGTCAATCCCTGCATAGCATACACCACCATATAACCGGTCCATTATCATGGCCAGCTCCACTGTAACAAACAAATCAGCATTGAATGTACAATGGAAAATAAGGCCAAGCTAACCTACCAATGCATTTGTATATTGCAATGTCCAGCTAATTGTGAAATCATACAACTATTTTATTACACAACTAGAGAGTTTAACTTTTCAGCAATGATTACAAGGATTTTTGTTACCATAACCATTATCATGACACCTAACATACCAGGGGTCTACATTAATACTAGTCTGCTAGTCCTGGACTAGTAGAAAGAGATATATAAGAGTGTTGGGTCCATGTTTCCTTTTTGATATATGTAAAATCATTGTTGTAGAAACTTTATATATACCCTTTTATCTATCTCGCCATGTTGGAGCTGGACAAATCTAACATACCAGGGGTCTACACCAATACTAGTCCGCTAGTCCTGGACTAGTAGATTTCAGCAAGGACTAATGAATCACCTAACCTAAATGGTCCTTTGGACTTGTGAAAAATATGATTATAAAATAAAAATATTTCTTTTTAAAATTTAGAAAACAGCTTAAAATAAGATATATTGCATGATAATTGTCAAAATTTTCCTACAGCTCCACCATATTTTTATGGCAATAATTATTTTATGTTCCCTGCAGTTGATTACTTTTGAAATTTCGTGCTGTAGATCGCGATGTTTCTTTAGGACGAAGGACTAGTAAATAATCTATTCAACTAGTCCTGTGGACTACCAAGCTAAAATAGTTAGTGTCTAACCCTGCATACATGTCACAGCAGTGAGTGGACTGCATGAGGTATGCAAAAAGTTCTGTGAGGTATTACTAATGTAGCATTTGACGGATCGAAGTAAAGTTACTTATGTAGCATTTGAGTAATGGTAGTTAAGTAGTTTTTCACTGACCTACAGTAGACATATAGTTTCTGTGAGAATTCATAATGAGTCAGGGGGTCACCATGTGACCTTCTTGACCAATGAATAAATAGCATCTTGTTAACATATCTAAACAATGCTTCCAGACTGCAAATTGCAGTCGTACATTTAGAAAAGTGCATTCAACTTGAAGAGCTGTATAACTTAGCCATAACTGAACAATGTTTTTCGACTATGGCAGCAAACATAGTAATGTAAATTTTCTGGGAGGGTCTTCTAAATATACCTGCTCTCAGTGGTCTAGGAACCCCTCCCACAAAAATAGTTTTCCTAGGGTCAAGTGGCTGAGACCCATCCATCACAAAGTCAGAATCACTTAAATTCCATGGCCGGATCTGAACCTGTAACATATCACAATGGCAAGGTAATGTGTGGGTTCACAGATCACACAAAATCTCTGCAAACAAAATCATCGCTAATTTATGAAACGGACGATGGAATTTTATCTTGCTTTCAAGAGATACTACCACAAAAAACATGAAAATAATGTAGAGGGAGAAAATGAAATACAAAAGATAATGTAGCTTATGATAAAGTTGTTCTGTAATTTTCGTGTTATCTCATATCCTCCTACTCAATTACAGTTTTGTGTGTGTGTGTGTGTCTTTTTGATGATATAGGGAAGAAAGAAGGATAACTAACATATTTTCTTCAGAATAAAGAAAAGGGTGCACACACTCACAGGGATATGGATACAGTAAGAGGTCTTGCATTAATTTTACAACTAATTTGATAAGTTACATTTTGAAATTTCTTAGTGTCCTTCAAATCTGTGAAAATCATTTTCAAATGTAGATTGAACCCTTTACTTACAGGTTTATCTTTCATTGTTGGGCTGGAAACACACCAGTACAATTTGTCGTCGTCTACAATACAGGACTCAATCAGAGCTTGGACCGACATCTCATCTTGGAACAGTAAAAAGCAGTAACCTGCAAATACACAAAGGGAAGCATTATTAAATATAAATGCTTACAGAAAATCAAAAGAATGGATATCTTTTATCTTGAAACAACAAATAAATTAATATTGGGGACATAGTCGATAAATTAGAAGAAAAAAACCTTGCAATTTTTGTCCAGAACTATGAACATTATTACCCTAATGTGCATTTTATTTTTAATTTCCTTTATTTTGATATGGTTTTACACTCAATAATTTGTACATATGTATTGGAGACTTGCTATCTAGGTGATTACAAAAAAAATAGTCCATATATATATTGACTAATCATATCATTCTTGCTTTTTGGATCTTTAGAAGAATTTGTTTTCACATGTTTACAAATTTGACCGCTGTGAACCTTTGAAGTGAGTCTAGGTAGTTCACTGAACAACTTTGGTAGCCTTCAGGCGAGTTACTTTGAACTTGATAGTCTAAGACCCATCCAAGCAAGATATGGAATATTCTAGACTATATGGATATCTGAATTTTCTTTTTAATATATTTTACCTATTTGGCTTAAAAAGGAAGTCAAGCTCAATTTTTTCAATAAATTTGATAGAAAGCAAGCAACAGGCAAAATACCATCACTTCAGGAATTATTGATTATGATCTTCAGAAGAAGTCATTTTAACTTTTAGCATACACAACCTTCTTGTGCCCTTGAGAGTGGGCCAAGAAAATGTATTTGAACTTTGAATTTGGTACCCACCCACACAGGCTACAGGCCAAGTATTAATCAATACACCGCTTTATAGAAAGATTGTTCAAAAAGAATTTGACACCAGATGCTGCACTTTCAAGTAAAATCACAGGCACTTTGTCCCAGGTGAGCTTACGATACTAATTAATTCCTAACATGTGTTGAATAACTGGTCAGTTTGGTGACACTGAACAAACTGTGTAAGATATCAGGTAATTTTATTAAACTGATGCATTGTCCCAACATCTGTTTCATATTGAATATGAAGCACACAGCACATTTCCCCCATGTCCTTCACAGATGACCTTGACCTAGCAGTGCAGATGTAATATGAAGTGACTCCATCACTGTATATTGATCTACCAAATTGCAGTGTTTAGCTGTATATTGTAGGCCTGATCCTTGGGGCCTAGAATCAATGCCTGCTTCCTCTGTCCACACTGAAGCTTTGTTCAAATTTGAAGTGAATCGTCAACACAAACACAAGTTATTGATCACATCATAACAGCTGGCCAATGAACACCTCAGTGCTTGGGAGGGGCTCAGGAATTCTAACACAATGCATGTAACATGTAGGAAAATATAGGCTGTGTATAACTGTTTGCTGGGGAAAACACAGGATTATAGCCACATGTAATATGTACAAATACATCAATATGCTGTAACACTCAGCCAATCGCAAGTGTAACAATATGTACATATATGCAAATTTATGCTGTATCACAGTTGATTTATATATGATTATAGCCATATATAAATGAACATATGTAAATAACAGTAAGTCTGGGTTAAACATATTCTGTCCGAATAAGGCAGGTTATAATGTACATAATAACCAATATTTTCTGACAAAGATATATATCTCTTTTACTGTACAAATATTAATGCCTATACTGCTTAATTAAGACAGATTTTATTGAACACATATTCTTTCTAGATTAAACATGTTTCATTGTACATGAATAGCCACATACACTCTCTGAATTAGATTTAGACAGGTTTCACTGTACATCAATAGTCACCTATACAGTATGGATTAGACAGGTTTTACTGTTCATGTATAGCCATATATACTGTCTGAATTAGACAGGTTTTACTGTACATGTATAGCCATATATACTGTCTTGATTAAACAGGTTTTTCTGTACATGTATAGTCACCTATACAGTCTGGATTAGACAGGTTTTACTGTACATATATTGCCATATATACTGTCTGGATTAGACAGGTTTAACTGTACAAGTATAGCAATATATACTGTCTTGATTAGACAGGTTTTTCTGTACATGTACAAGTCACCTTAACTGGCTGGATTAGACAGGTTTTACTGCAAATACATAGCAACATATACTTTCAGAAGTTTCTGGATTAGACAGGTTTTAATGCACATGACTATTATTCTGTCTGGACAAGACAGGTTTTATAATTCATGTGTAACCACCTTTACAGTCTGGATTAGACAGATTTTACTGTACATATATAGCCATATATACTGTCTGGATTAGACAAGGTTTTACTGTACATGTATAGCCAGCCACCTATACTGTCTGGATTAGACAGGTTTTACTGTACATATATAGCCACCTACACTGTCTGGATTAGACAGGTTTTACTGTACATATATAGTCACCTACACTGTCTGGATTAGACAGGTTTTACTGTACATGTATAGCCAGCCACCTACACTGTCTGGATTAGACAGGTTTTACTGTACATATATAGCCACCTACACTGTCTGGATTAGACAGGGTTTACTGTACATATATAGCCACCTACACTGTCTGGATTAGACAGGTTTTAGTGTACATATATAACCACATACACTGTCTGGATTAGACAGGTTTTACTGTACATATATAGCCACCTACACTGTCTAGAATAAACTGGTTCTAACGTTCTCACATTACACATACTAGATCTACATATATACAATGTACATGAACAGAAATCCATGTTCTAAAGTACAGAAATAACCACATACAGGTTATATTATAAGTACGTTTAACACACATAAAGGTGCCTACAGTTCTATCTTCCTAAACCTTAGAACTGACATTTATCTATTTCCAGGCACATAAATAATTCAATCTAGTTCCTGATTCGGGAATCTCCTCCCGATGATGAGTAAGTTCATTAATAAAGGAGTAATTGATTGAAAATTTCATGCCAAGTCTAGAGCTACAGCTATATATACATGTAGCATAGAGATCATCTGTATGAGGAAGATTGAGCCCGAGGCTACACCGAAATTATTAATTAACACTGATGTATTACAGTCAAACAGGTAAAATGATGATGTACATTGTACAATGTAACTGTCACATGTATAACACAGGGTTGATATCTCTGTGAATCACATGTGTCCTATCAGGTTTATATGTTATCATAGCGGGTATACAGTAGTACATCACTGTAATTGTCAGACCCATCCCCATTGATGGCACTAACTATACACACTTGATAATCAAGCCCAAAACACTTCAACTGCCAAATTCTTACTATCTGAAGTAATTATACCTGAATATGATCAGACCCTAAAAATAAACACTCCTCGTGTTACACGATAGTGTATATATAATATATTGTGTGGTATATAAACTTTCTACAGTAGACTCTTATAATTTGGCTTATAGACACGGTCATGATGCAAGAGCTGGGTACAATGACAGGAAATTCACCTTCCCTAAAGTTTCACAACACAATTCATCTGTATAATTGCTACCGAATAAAGAATCTCATTCTGACTTGGTTGCAGGGGGAAGTGCTCCATTACGATAGTGAGAGTATGGATTAGCAGTGCTATAAATAGACCTGAAGCAAGCACAAGAATGTTGGATGCTCAAAATCTATTTTTACATCAAACACCAGATCAGTTTTACATAGGGAAACAGATGTTATCACACAGAGAATAAAGGGAACTCTGGCCTGTAATCAAGGCTAGTATTGTCCACGCCATTAGGGCATTACAAACACATAATACAGCCATCAAAAGTCACCAAAGGCTATTCTCATCAATATGCCAATATACAGGATAATAGCAGCCAATGTGCTGAAGGTCCTTCAAGGCACATTCCAGTCAGAATTCTCCACTACCTTGTAGTCCATTACTTCATTGCAGTCGAATGTTATACACCAGCTACAGGTACATTGTAATTACTGTGTATGCATCATATCCATTCATTACACTTATCCTCCATAAAATGGCTCCTTCGGGATATCAAAATGATCCTTTACCCGATACCATTATACCCGTTCACAACACGTTTGGTATAATTTGTATCGATGGATAACAATAAATCCACTTAGTGTCTCTCTTTAACTGTTTTGGAGAATTCTAAAATCAATACTGAATCAGGCATAGAGGTGATATGTTTACATTACAGTAATTTGAATTGCAAAATTTGTCAGTTTTAAATTCTCAGCAGCGCAACAGCTGTAGTTATTAATACAGATTAAAAATACTGCTCATTTTTTATTTTATTTTTTTATTTTTCAGATTGTAAATATATCACTTGTAAAGACAAAGAGAAGATGCTTAGAAGCAAATTTGTATAAATATCAAGAACAAATTCTTCATCACTTGAGAGCATGACAATGCATAAAACTGTCTGTACTATCTATCAATCCACTTTCACTCCTAACTGCTGTGTATCTTATTTTCACATGGCTGATACTTGATGTTTTAAGCTGTGATGAGATTATTAAAAAGTCACAATGGTTATCAAATTCCCATATAATTCATTTTCAAATAAGTTTTCATAGCTATAGTGACGAAAGTGGGTTAACAAGATATCCTAGGGGATCTTGGCAATCACCGGTGTAGGACATGATTCTGAAGTAGAGGGGATAGAATTGTATATGATATTTTGCTTTCATGATGTTTTTATGATGATTCTGTGTGAATTAATTTTGAAAAGGAGGTCAGAACGACCTTGAGCTTAAAAAGTTTGTTTAACATTTGTACTACATCCAGAATAATATTATTGAAAAAATCAACGGTCGTTCAGCAACGTCATGTTCCATTGTTATGTAATGCTTAAATGGCACTGTTTGAGTTGCTATCTCTGTCATGCATGGTTTTATGAATTTTTATGGTAGTAAATGATAAAAATTCTATCAATGCCATCCGAGTATTTGAAAAACTGATAAACAAATAAATAATTCATCATTGACACATTCACAGGGCCTGCGTGTGACTGACATTCATTCATCAGTACATGTACCAATATGTTAAAGCTAGAAACAAAAAAGTATTTGTTTCTGTTTTTCTACTTACATTTACCTCCCATAATGTTTTCTATCTACCTAATTATACTGTCGCTTTCTATTTAACAAGTTAATAATTGTTTGTTATTATAAACTAAAAAGGATTTTCTATCTGCCTATCTACCCGACTTTTGAAATCTGAAACAGAAAACAAAGCTACTTTTTTTTGCCAGAGTGATAGAGTAAATTATCCTACTTTTTTATGAAAAGATAGAGGTCCTAAAGCAGGGAAACAGTTTATGGCCTGTTTGGTGTCATCAGTATAAGAGGAGGGTGCATAAGAAAACCCATTATTATCAGGGACCCTACATCTTTAGTTGCCTCCTATGATCATGCAGTCAGCATATAAACCTCTATACTGGGGAGAGAGAGAGACAGAATCTGTTGTGATGTGTAGTAAGCATTCTTACGTTCTATCACACATTCAAGCATGAACAGGTAGATAACAGTTTGTGCATTCTGTTGAAGCATGTGCCCATGAATCTTAATGAAATTCTCTTTCAACTGTGCAGTAGATATGGATATATAATGTACTTCGATAAGCCCAGAAGGTCAATAATCCATGAATGATAGATGAATGGTGAAATACTGGGGTTTCTGAACTTTAACCTTGGTCAAGCTATATGTGTGTACTAGTGGTGTACTGATAACCGGAAACATCGAATAAATCAAGCTTGACATGAGGTCGATTCGATAATCGATTGAGCACATGAAAGATCGATTTTGAAGCTTTGTCATGAAGAAGATCGTTTTTGTAGGATTGTCATGAAGAATTGAAATTCTTAATATACATAGTTGCTTTTCATGTTTAATCCAAAAATAAAACGTCCCTTTCACCCGTTCTTGTTTATTTGCTTGAATCATGCCGGCATTCAAGCGTGGTAGCTATAACGTCATTACATAATCAAGGTCAGTGCGGTGTTTTGTAGGTACGGCTAAATTTATAACTGACGAAATCCGGAGGTATGGCAAATGGCGGGCACCGGAATGAAAACACTTTCTTTTTTCAGCGAAGGGACAGTGGGACATAAACTTTACACCTGGGTTAATTTCACAATAATAAATGTCATATCAAGTACTTAACCCAAGATGCATAACCTGATTTGTTTGTGTTACAATCGCTATCATCATGACTCATTTGCAGGAGATAGGAAAAGGTATGTTCACTTCTCAAACGGTAACCTACCGGTCATTGTCAATATCTGAAGTATTTTTTCTCATCATATCTTAGATAAAGTTATTAGCCAAATATGATGTAGTTGTCCGATAATCGATCTTCAAAATCGGACCGATTCCGAGCACTAGTGTGTATTTCATAATATGCAACTTCTTTTGTTAAATCTGTGTATCAAGGGGTTATGTTACCAGAGCGACCATAGGCACTTGCTTGTAAAATGTTAAGCCACAGACGTCTATATCACAGAGGTACTGTTTGAACTTGGTTAAACTCTTGGAGGCTAGGTAATCTTGCACAAATATTTATATGATGGCTGATCAAAAATATGGCAGACCCGTATCCTCAATTATGTGAATGAACATATATTTGTTCACAATACAATCATGCAGAGTATTTCCTTCTGAATGGAAATATTTATTCACAAAAAAGTGTACTTTTGTATAATTGAGCTTATGTCACCTGAATAAATCTGATATGTCATAAAAAAAAGTAACAGAAAAAAAAGTAAGGGACAAAATCCAAACACATTTATAAACAAGTACATAAACTACATCTTTTCTTATATATACGTAGTCAAAAAACAATGTAAAATCATTTTTGTATATTCCTACACATATGGCAGATATCCAACTAACTAGGCTCATTTTCTGTATGAGATACCATAGGGCTGGAATGTCATCTGCACACCCAGAGAATACTGTGATAGGGAGATGAAATTGACTCTCCCTTCCCAATAGTATGATGGATCGGGTTCTACCTGGTAACTAACTGAGGTATAACATCCTGTATTATGACAAAGGTACACATGAACATGACCAGGATTATGTACTTAGGGCCCAGCCAGGCTGCTTGTCTTGCAGGATTTATGGGGTGCTGAAGCCACAGGATCTCGGTGTACAGATGTAGTCTCTAGATCTTCCTGAGTGAATAGGAACCAATCAATAAGGCCACAATCAATATAGCTAGCACACAGAGGTAACAGCCACTAGGCTCCTATTTCACCAGATGCTACCAATCATATACCCTTCCATAACTGGTGTCAGTGGTCAAATAGCACACAGCAATTAATATAACCAGATTCTTTAGCCAAAGCATTATGTGACAGTAATTATCCGCAATCGTTAATTGAGCAATTTTTATCAAGCGAAAAAGATTAAAAGATATTTTTAATTGCTTCATTCAAAGAGGGTTTTAATGAATAAATCAATTTCCGAGTTCTTCAATTATTGGGCTGTACTGTATAATAAAAGGCATAGATAGTATAACACATCGGGATTCTCCGAGAGTGCGCATCAATAATGCATTGTACTGCCAATCTTGGCCAGTATAGCTCAGTATACAGCTATATCCCTACTGCTGCATTGCAGACAGGAACATTTTCAATACAGTGTTATTGTTTCAGTTTTCTTGTAAAAAGGATCCACAAACTAAACACAAAAACAAACATTTCAATTCTAGGATATATAAAATATCTACTTATAGTCACAAGGGATTCAAATTTGTGAACAATAAATTGCAATGTCAAGATCTTGTTCATGTTTTAAACTTTTGAGTAGATACAAAAGAATTATAGAAAATATAATCCACCAGTTTGCTGAAAGTCAGTGCCTAATCCTTTATTGTTCTCATTAATGAAGTATGAAAAAGAAAAATTATTTATATAGAAAAAATAACAGGAACAAGTGTTACTTGTATTTAAGAGACTGTTACATTAAGTCTCGAAAACTTAAATTATAATTAAACATGAATAGTAAAAGATCATTCAAGGTCATTCATTTGGAAAAAAAACTGTGTAGTGCTTCATCAAAGCACGCTTCTGATCAAATTTCATCACCTTTTGGTCTTGGTTATTCCGAAAAAAACAGTCGAAAGATTTTAACATATCTGACACATGTGACCTTGAAAACAGATCAAGGTCATTAATTTGAACAATGTCTCTTCATACCTGGCATGCTACACACCAAACACCATGACCCTAGTAGGACAAGAACATTTATTTGAACTTCATCCCAGTATACTACAGGCTTTTGTAATCATATGCTTCTTGGTAATGTAGAAGAAATTGATTAAAACTTTTTAATAAATCTGACCACCCTGATCTTAAAAATGTCACATATTTGAACATGCTTTTGGCCAAATATCATGACCTAGACTTCTTTGGTTAGTCATAAGAAGTCACTTAAATATTTGATTTATTTGACCATTTTGACCTTGAAAGCAGGACAAGCTCAACAAAATGCTTGACCCCCTCTTTCCTTGCAAGTTGGCCGAGGTCATTTTCAACCTTCGGACCAGGTGTGCTAATTAAATCAGAATTTATAGTCATGAATATTTTAGGCAATCAATGGCCACAGCACAGCAATCATCTTGAATCCAGAAATATAAAAGTCAATACACTCGTTGTATACCTCCACAAAGCATGAACAACCTCATCCCAATACAGCTGCAGATAAAGTAAGAAATTTCTCAACCAATTGTAGCCATAACAAGCCATGTTGGATGTCGGGTAATTCATGTTCTTGGAGTGTAATTAGAACCCAGCAAGTAGTTTTGGGGATCTATTTACTTTTAAACACGATTGCATACAGAGGAATTGCGAAATTGAAACCTATATTACTAAAACGATTTTGTGAACTTTGGGCCTTAATGGCACTTAGGTCTTTTAGTCCAAAGCTAGGTAAGAAACTAATCCTACTACACTGTGTTATAATGCACTTTTCACATTTATTCCTTTGACATCTCCTCTACTTAATAACGTTTTTTAATGTTAAAAGAAGTGGAAATGAGGTGAGAATTGATGCAGCACAGGTTTTAAACTGTAAACGATCAAGAAGTAACTTGATAAAATATTCCCAATTGTCATTCTCTCCCAATTAAATCAGTTATAGAGATTCTGTTACACCTAACAATATTTACCCTAGAAAAGTACATTTTATTTAAATGTTTTTAGTAGTTTTTTTCTATATATTTCTGCATCCTTTGCAAAGTTTTCTTTGTCCTGTGACATTTAAAACATAAAATTATACAAAATTTCTCTGGGTTAATGGGGGGGAAAAAGTCAACATAATGTCTTTCTTTTTATTGTTCTATATAATGTCTTTCTTTTTATTGTTCTATCTAATGTCTTTCTTTTTATTGTTCTATCTAATGTCTTTCTTTTTATTGTTCTATATAATGTCTTTCTTTTTATTGTTCTATATAATGTCTTTCTTTTCATTAGTCAGTGTTTCTATTTCAATGTAAACTGACTTCAATGTAAACCTACATAAACAACGTCAGCTGACCATTTATATCATTTGCATTTCTCGAAATTATCAGATACCTTGGGATGTTTCTCACGCTGTTATCCCTCTCTGAGACACATCCTTAAATGACCTAAGTTGTTGATAGGACATTAAACTCTGTACAACCAACCAACCCTCTCTGGGAGTTTCCTAAGATGGACAAATAGCTCTGAGCAGGTCAAGAGGTTGACATACAATGTATGCTGGTCTAATTTTTTTTATCTCTGTGACAAATTATGGTCACTCCAATAGGACCTGAAGAATATTGCCTGAAGTTAACACTGTGCACCAACCTTTTGGAGGAAAGTATGACTTGCTCTCTGCCTTATGGGGCCAGTCAACAACCAGTGCACCAAATCTTCTAAAAGCTGCAGTAATTTCCTCTGAAAAACACATCAATGTAACAGTAAGCAATCCGCAAAACAGTATAAGCAGTACCACAAATGAGCACTGCCTTGTATTTACCCTTTTTATATCATTCTAACAACCAACTGTAAATACATGTACACTGTATACTGTACATTATTTCAATTTTGTTAAGTTGCAGTTGAAAATTAAGGGTTTTGTTGCTGAAAATCTGGGGTTCAAACTTTGTTTTCATGGAATTCCCCCCCCCCCCCACCCAGCATATCATACAAGGCTGGCCTTGGGTACACTAGTACTGCAAGATTCAGAATTACCGACCACCCCCCCAGCATATCGTACAAGGCTAGCCTTGGGTACACTAGTACTGTAAGATTCAGATTCAGAATTACACACACACACACCCCAAGCATATCGTACAAGGCTGGCCTTGGGTACACTAGTACTGCAAGATTCAGAATTACCGCCCCCCCCGCCCCCCCCAGCATATTGTACAAGGCTGGCCTTGGGTACACTAGTACTGTAAGATTCAGATTTAAAGCGTCCTGAACACCCTACAGACATGGTACCAGCAACATATGTTGAACCCTCAGCTTTGTGGTCAGTATATATACATAATGAAAGATTTCAGAGGCAGAAGTTTCCAAACTGCTATATATAAATGGACATTTTCCAGGCAAAAGGTGCCAAGACCCATTCATGAATATTTACACAAGTATAAACATTTACATAATACACACAAATAAGGCTTGCTACATATAAAAGTTGTCTTAATTCATTTCAGTCAGATACATAAAAAGTCTGCCTATAGTGGTTCGACTATAAACCTTTCACTTTCATTTTATCGATATGAAATACAACTAGTAGCTGTGTACACAATACTCTATAATAAACCAAATGGTTGGGTTTGTCTTTCACATCCAACCTGCATTAATTTATAGATCTATACATGTCATGATAACAGTTTTTGACATTTTGGTGTCGAGTCTCTGACTGCATTACATGGTGATTTTTTTATATTATGTATTGACCGACATATTTAGAACAAAATGTTCCTGATAAAAGGACATCAACATTAAATATAACTGCAAATAGAAGCCAACCCAATAAACAATGAAATTGTATCCAAACATAAAATTTTAGAGTATCAACATTGTATCAACATAAAGTGTATGGCCAGTAGTTACAATGTATAGGATATTGATGGATCAATTTATTCATGAACAAAGTCTTTTACATATTATTGTAATAACGTATAATGTACACATTTGATCCATATTCGAACTTCTCTTGCATATTTGCAGAACACACTTCTGATTTCATAAAATTTAGTTTCCCTTGTTTTCTAAAAACTTACAAAAGAGATAGGGGGCTGATCCAGACAGCTTATAAGTTGTACTTTAGTTTATTAATTACATGATTTCTTGAAACATTTTTAGGCTAATCCTTCATTGCTAAAATGGAGATATCCCACAACCCTTCTCCTCCCTTATACGATCGGTCTCTAGATCAACACATGTATTTCTAAGCATCAGTTTATATACATGTCCTGAAGGGAATAGCTTTACCTTCATCAATGTCAGGCGGCAGGCCCCCAACGAAAACTTTTCTTGAAAACCTCTCTATACGTTCCCCCTGGGAGCCAGGAGAGCCCTGCGAGCCCCCGTGAAATGACCCCCCAGACTGGTCTAGGCCATCCTCATCTAGTCCTTCTCCAAAACCAAATGTAGGTTTACCTGTAAACAAGATTGTTCTATTAGTATTACTTTAAATAATAGTTTATGTGTTGTATTCATGTATGAAGTTATAATGCATGCTAGATTAGCATGGGCTGGGGCCCTTGAAACTTTGAAATGTGTTGTCAGCATACAAACTGACAATAGATGATATCACGACCAGTGGAACTCTTCAAATAGGAGGGGATTAAACTGTACTCGCTGGGGCAACAGACAACATGACAGCGCCAAAACATTCAGATACGTATTTCCAAGAATTTCCATGTAATGAATTGGGTAATATTTTAAAGTCAAAATGTATCACCTAATCCAAATAAGAAAAATGGAGAGCTAGTACACCTATAATAGCAAGCAGACGAAAGAGGACGAAGCTAAAGCGTCACAGTTGTGACGGACCGTCAGCGGCGTACAGAGTATCGTGTTACCTTTATGTAAATGAAACGTCAGAAGGCTTGTTTTGGACAAACAATTTGATTAGAATGTCATCACTAAATGCATTTGAGGTGACCTCTATTCTTGTGAGTTATTTTTGTTGGTTCGATACAGTGAAGGTGGGGCATATTGTTTACAACACATGGAAGATTGTTTTGCCCCCGTATCCTCGCATTCTCTCGCGAGACTTGTGCATTTTCAACAAGAACTCTTTGAAGGGGAATAACTCGTGGATGGTTGCGATAACAAGTATTGTATCTATCCAATGATAAATGTATTTCTCTGCCTTAAGTGGCTTAATGAGCTAATACCATTTAAAAGACTAGAAGTACTTAAACAAAGGTTTTTAGATTCAATATGTACAATGTATCGTAAATAGTTTTAAAAAAACTATCAATTTTGAATGTTTTGAACAATGACTGCAAAACGTTGGTCCAAAAAAAAGACGAAAAGTACAGGGTAAAGAGACATACATTGTACACCAAAGGATCAATAATACACTGCTTTATTTTATACTGACATTGGGATCTTGAATAAATTGCATTCAATAATCAATAAGTTTTATATGATAGAGACTGGAAAAATTGCCAATTCTGAAATTAGATTGTATCATATAGTTCAGCCTAAGCTCAACTTTCATATTGAAACAATCCAGAATGGCTGCTAATTTATTGATGACGTAGGCAAGGAGGTGGGCAGTCTGTCTAATGAGACGCCGCCATGATTTACAGCGGGCCATCATATTACATGTACACATTACAAACCTTTGAGGGCTTCATTTGGATCACCAGTAGACCTCATGATATCTAAAAGCTGGGTCTCGAATGAGGAGAATCTCATGCTATCATATGAACCACTCCGATCCTGAAAAAAATACAAGCCATAAATATAAGTAAAATCAATAGCAGATGAGAGGACACTGGGGATATCTCTGATAATACTAGAACCCTGGAATCATGATGGGAAAGTCATTTCAAGGAGAGTTCAAGAAAATGATAGCTGTAATTCTGCAGCTCTACAAGGTCTGCATGCAGATCAATAAACATCAGCATCCATCTCTTTATTTTGGTGGTGGGGGGGTTAACAATATTAAAACATTTTGAACGAGATTTCTACTGAACAGAGAATTTCTAATTTAATTCTATTCCTGTCCCTTAAGAGTGGCAATACCCAGTAAGGTCACTAGAACCCTAAGAGAACCCTTCAACAGAAGAACCAACTTACACTACTCTTACCCCAGTACAGCATACTATTAATTACAGCTATTTCTGTATGAATAGTCACAAACAGTAAAACCAATCTGACTATGATTACTTGAAAATTGTTTACCATGGTATAGCAATTACTTAGACATCTTCAATACTAAGAAAAGGTATAAAGTATCATGCAATATTGGTTGTATTTCTGTAATTGGTATACTTGGCAATCAGTTGAACTTGAAGTACTGGAAATACAGTAGAACTGTACAGGTTGACACATTTTACAAACGATGAGCCAGGCCGCATTTGATTTTGTTTGAGGTGAGGTACATTTATGATAACACTTACAGCTAGTCTAAATTCAATTTTATAATATACTTCAAACAATTTGTTATTGTTTAGTTTTAAACAATTTAGAGTATTTGTTCAAGTTATTAAACCACTTGTAAAAGTATGTATTATGGTAAGTACTACATGTACAATACATACATGTCTGTATTGGAGGTGACTCCACGTCATAGTTCACAACAGTGATGGAAGGTGTTAATCAACTTATTAATTAACACTTAAAGGTATATTTAACTAACACTTCCGATGTTTCTGGAGAAGGAGCTAATAACAGGTCATTTTAAAGTTTCATCACACAGAAATGTCATAGCCTTGACGCAGAAGAATAATACTCCACCTAACCACATTATATAAATTCTGACAATTGCCTAACACAGGTGCCTTAGGAGAGACCCCCCCCCCCCCCCCCAAAAAAAAGGGAAAAGATAGAGCTCCAAAGGCAATGAATATCAATTTTGGTTTCTACCCCAGCCCAATATCAGACCAGAAAGTTTTCAAGTCGTCAGGTCACCCTTTGGATATAATAACCACAAAAACACTCATACAAGTCTAAAAAAAAAAAAAAAAATGAATTTGAAAAATGTATAGTATCATTATATGCTAATAAGCTTTGAAGTGAATCCAGATAATTAATCCAATTCTTCATTCCAATTAATACATAATTTACAAAAACAAATTATATATATACACCGCTTATCATGATCCTATATCAACAGAAAACGACTGCATATCTATATGACTACTACATATATATAACACTGCAGGTAGAACATGTGCACCTGATCAAGCTTTAAGCTATATATACACAGTATATGGTACATACATGAGAATATTGTGGTTTGTGATATATAGGTCATGTTTTCATACAATTGTATTCAGCTATCTGTCATGTAATTATATACAGAATGCATTGTACATGTAGATGTATTGGTCACACATTTAGATGTTATCAGCCATACAGTTGGTTTTATAGTACAAAGTGTACACGTTTTGTGTTTGGAATTTAGATAGTGATTTAAATCATCATATAGGAAAACTAATTTTCTTGATTAAGTTAAACAATCTTTACTTGACCGGACTTTCAGTTGTTTACCTACAACAAACTGAAAATTTCAATGTTCATGCCCCTCTGAACAAAATGTTCATCACATAGATCTATTACCTATAAACTCCTTGTTAAACTTTAATGTCCCATTCTTCCTGGTATAATTATCCTGATTAAAAAACTAACACTATATCCTGGGGATACTCCTGATCTTGGGAAATTAGCTATACATATGTAGGTAGACTAACCCCTACACAGGCAGTTAGCTATACATATGTAGGTAGACTAACCCTACACCGGCAGTTAGCTATAAATATGTAGGTAGACTTACCCTACACAGGAAGTTAGCTATACATATGTAGGTAGACTAACCCTACACCAGCAGTTAGCTATAAATATGTAGGTAGACTAACCCTACACAGGCAGTTAACTATACATATGTAGGTAGACTAACCCTACACAGGCAGTTATCTATACATATGTAGGTAAAACATATGTAGGTAGACTAACCCTACATAGGCAGTTAACTATACATATGTAGGTAGACTAACCCTACACAGGCAGTTAGCTTTAAATATGTAGGTAGACTAACCCTACACAGGCAGTTAACTATACATATGCAGGTAGACTAACCCTACACAGGCAGTTATCTATCCATATGTAGGTAGACTAACCCTACACAGGCAGTTAGCTTTAAATATGTAGGTAGACTAACCCTACACAGGCAGTTAGCTATACATATGTAGGTAGACTAACCCCACACAGGAAGTTAGCTATACATATGTAGGTAGACTAACCCCACACAGGCAGTTATTATTTAAGCTTGTATATTTTTTTATCGTAAGTCAATGAATGTTAAGACTGTAGTCTTGTACTTGTGTTTATTTTCGAATCCCCGTCGGATAACTATAAACAAATAATCACACTATAAAGAAAACTTTATCTTTCCTATACATGGCATGTCTTACTGTGTCATTTAAACAGTATTATAATCTGTATACGTTCCATTTAATTTCAGCAGGTACGCATACAATACACAGGTAATTTATTCCTAGTCAATACAATGGATGATTATTATACACTTTCCGATAACACAAATTGATATTGGGACTTTAATAAGCAGCCTCACAAAGAGGTTGTTATGCCTTTCACTTCCAGTCCAGTGTAGATAAGAAACCCTAGTATACAAGGAATTCCTGTTTTCGATATATTTCTAGTTCACCAATCCTCCAAAACAACATACTTGTTTCTGTGCCAACACAAAATTTCATCCCACAGTGCACAAATAAAAGGAAACACTTCAATCCGGAGCTGCTTGTAAGATGCATTAAATTACATCTTCACTATGTATACTTCACATCTTTTATTTTAACAAGTAACATATGTTGAAACCTGTTGCCAAATTTTGTAAGTGTGTTAACAAGTCATCAGTACTATGTTTCATATTCATAATTTAAAGTCTGTAGAGAAATATAGGATCTTACACGAGTTTCCATTTCATATGAGATTTATGAAAAGAGTCAAAGAATTTATCAATTTAGCGAGCCTCTGACCTAAAATGAAAAATTTGTGACACGTTTCATAAATTTCATATGAAATGAAAACGAGTGTAAAAAGACAATTTTCAAGCAACCTTGAAATGAAAAAAGTCACCATTTTGACTCGAGTGCGTTAGTCTGTGACATCATGTACTTTCCCCAGGCGTGACGTCACAATTGAAATAATTAAAACTTACAACCAATCACAGGGCTGATAGGTCTATTACATGGGTTAATACGCAAAAAATATGACATGGTTATATTCACTGGATCGCACAGTACATTATGTGATAAAACAACATACAAAATGGAGTATCAGGTCAGCAAATGTTAACTTAGTACTCCTGTACTCATGATCAGCCTGCATCTTGTTCAGTTGTTAGTCTGTATAATCCTTTATCTGCCAGGTCATTCATTTCTTAAAAATGTGAAAGTTGTTTGTCATAATGTACACTGTTTGTTTATATTTTCATACACGACTATTATAACTGTACAGAGATGCTGATCTTGATCATGTGACACAGTGACGAGACATTGTGTACGTCAGAACTCTAATTACCTAGAATACTCTAGATATTTTTCTAGAAGAACTTAAGTACTTTTCTAGAAGAACTGAATTACTTTGAAGTGATAATCCCTGTTCACTGAAGTATCCACAATATGATGCAATGTTCTAGAGTTTATCATTTCTACAATGGTATACTTTAACACATAGTTAACACATGTGGTGCTGCATGTTTTCTTATATCCCCAAATGAAAGAGAAAAAAGTACTTAAAACAACATTCCTGTACCAAAACAATGTATCCAAGCAATTAACACTTAACCTATCTAGGAAAAGAAGCATCTTAATATTTCCTCGTGAAGATTAAACCAGCAAATTTCATTTGTTTCCTGCAAATTAATTTAAACCAAGTATACAACTTTGAGAATACAACATTAAAACCGATCAGTTAATGGAGCTCTATAGCTACGTTACATACAGCATCTGTTTGGATCAATACAACATGGCCGCACCTTGGTTCAATTGTTCAAAGAAATAAATTTCATGTAAATATGGATATTTTAGTAAAGTGATACAGATTTGAACTCTGAAAGCACAGGTTTAGATTTCGTAGACTTGTACCATGGTTTCAGATGCATACGGTAATCCAAACCAGTCCTTTTAACGTCATGCTAATCCTCTATCACTTTGCATTTAAAATATCCATATTCAGATGAAATTCAACTCTTTGAACTGGTATTGGAAATCACTAAAAATTCATGATCGATCATCACTATTATTCAAACAAAATGGGTAATATACACAAAATGTATACCATGTGGTGGATACCTTTTACCTAGCTAGGTACACAGTATAGGCAGAAATGTTGATTGAATGTTTTTAGAAATTTATGAGTAAAATTGTTTTCAAAATCAGTTTTCAAGTCTGCCCTAACCACAATAACTCTTGAAGGTTTCATGTTATAGTCAAACTATGATTGATCATAGAAAACCATGATTGACTAGTCACAGTCGGAGGTAAAATTATTAATCAAACAACTCCATTTTGCTTGGTCTGTTGCAGTACAATGACAGAAATATGTGTAATCTACAGGAAATAAAACCTTCAAAAACTGGTGTGGAATTGCCATCAATCGCACCTGGGTGTGGCTATGTATTGATCCAAACTTAGGTCTACAGCCACAGATAGCTATAACTGACCATTCAGAAGTACCGGTTAAAAAACATTTAACTCTGTTACGGTGCGATCCATTTTTTATGAGGTTTTCCAATGGGACTATATGTGTAACATAATTTCTGTTTATGGGCATCAATTATATTGCCCCATATTTATTTTTGCTGTGTTCTTTGTATTGTTTGTAGTCACTGCTCATGATGCTAAATTGTATAGATGAAGAATACATTCAACAAGTTGTTGCCTGAACAGTAACATATATATCAGATCAGAAAGCTGCATTAACAAAACAACTATACAACATAACTGTTTGCAAAACTTACTAAAAAAATGGGACTTTATAAAATCTTACCTGACTGTACAACAATACATTTTTCTCATTTTCATTACATATGGATCAAAATTAATTTGCCACAAGTTTCCTACCAAACTAAAGCCTAATAAATATTTCACAGAAATTGCTACTTCCTGGTAGCCGAGCTGAATATTTGAAAACCAAATTTGAAAAGGGAATCTAATAATGTTCTATAAAATTAAAATAGCATTGTATAAAAATGATTTATCTCCATCTTGTACATGCTTCATACAGGTACAACTTATAAATAAGTAACTTTTTAAACAAACCTGTCTTTGTTCGAACTGATAGTGATATTGAGGTGTACATACATGTAAAAATGTTATCTATGATAGTCATAGTGATATATATCTTATCTACATAAAAGTTAATTGAAATGATGAAAGGTTTTTCAAACCTGCTTTAATTGTGCAATGTCAGACATGTTGCAAAACCATGCAGCCACAAAATTTCATAATAAATATAAGGTAGTCCGGATGATAAAGGCAGGTAATGGTATATGTACATCAAATGGAGATAAATTACATACAAAGTAAGCACACACTTGTCTATTATTCCGATCTTTAGTAGAACTAAATACTTTCAAGATTCTAAGTGCATCAATCATATTGCCACTTTGGGACTAATGGGATAGCATTGTATCATTATTTCTGACATCTGGATAAAATCTACAAGCTAGTAATGAATGAACACAAACATGTTTCAACTTGAGGATATGCTAGCCTACAGACTATAATATTTAACTGGACAAAGAATGTGGCAGAGGTGCTGACCCCATAATTGATAAATATTGTGATAAAAAGTTGTGAAAATTGACCAATCATAAGTTGTTCACACAATATCTTAATAAGTTGTTCACACAATATCTTAATATGTATACACCAACATTTAATTTTTGGAAATTCTGCATGTACACAGGAACTTTTCACTTTGCAGTGTTCTCGCTAAGTTTTTGAACAGGCAGTTGATTTTAAAAAATAGCTGGTTGAATGTGACATGTTCTATTATCACAAATTGTCCATTTCCTGTAAAATAGCTGGCTCAAAGTTGAGAAGCAACCGGCTTTTAACGAGAACACTGTTCAGGGATGGTAGTTTTATATAACTATTAAGTCATTATAAAAATGTTGTTTGTTGGCCCCTCCCTATCAATTGCAACATAACAAAACATAGCCTACTCAAATAATTTCATTGATATTTAATTGAATAATTTTTGCTATTTCCATAATTAGTTAATTACATTTTTGCAAATTCAATACTCATTTCAAGTAATTATTTATGATCTTTCTTAAAAAAAATACATTATTAAATTGACAAGATATTTTAATAGTGATATAGTGTGTGTTTGCAGAAGTAGTAATTATTTTCATCCATATTGTTTACTGTCAATTCATCAGTGATCAATTATTTCTATTGTACATTGCTAAAGTCAAAAGAACATCCTATCTCCCCTCCTACACCGAGATAATCCTGGATTGGGCCATTGACCCCACAAAATTGAAATTGACTGTTCCATGTTCCAATTTTCTTACATAGAATGGCCCCTCTTAATTTTGATATTGACCAGATATTGCTAAAAATGGCCGACAGCGTTCAAATTCCAGGATTTTTCGCTACTACATTCAAATTCAAATTCTTTATTTCATCGATTCTAAGGAAAATTTCATAATGTACATTCAAAATCAGCACAGACTGTAAGATACAATCAGCATATGGAATTTATAATTTAGATACAGGTGTTTTTATGAAGTAAGAGCTTGCAAATCAAGCTAGTTAGAAGCCAACATATTAGAATGTAGTAAACATGCATGATATATGAACTTACCCAGGTTAGTTAATTCTTTGATATTACTGGTTGATAATAATTTGATTTATTTAAAGACAGAGGGATTAACACGACAATAAAATTTAATATATAATTTACTTCTTAGTTCGCTGAAGGAGGGGCAATTTAGAATGAAGTGTAATTCGTCTTCTATATCATTTTTACAGAAAGGACAAAGCCTTAAATAATGAGGATTTTTTCTATGCCTTCCAGTTTCTATGTAAATATTGTGTGAAGACAGTCTTATTTTGACAATTGCTTTCTTAAGTACATGTACCTACGGTACTTCCTACCTACCCACCAACTATAGCTAGTGATGACAAATCTGAAATCGGTCCATTAATCAGATAAATCGGGGAGCTTCAGTCCACTAATAATCCATCAACATTCTGAATTCATTTTCTATTCATTTACTTCAAACTGTAGATTTTGTTTTCAACCTGAGGTGATCACAGACAATTTGGATCTCCGACAACATTAGAGTTTTACCCAATCAGCTGTTATAAGCAATACTCTTTAAGTTAACTATAATATCTGGCATCTGCACTTCACCTCGGCTGATTTTCAATTAAATTTGGACAATTAGGATGCCAACTCTTACTGTTGTGGTAATGGAGCAGGTCAAAATAATATATTAAAACCTTTCTTTGAATTTCACAGACAGAAAACAAATTTGAACAGAGCTGAACTAGCAAATGTTGGAGAATCTGAATTTGACCTACTGGTACTATATAACAACTTGGATGTTCCTGCTATGGTCAATAAAATGTGTTTTAAGTGTGTTTTTCCTCATATTTCAACAGTGACTTTGGTAAACCATTCAACAGAAACACATTGACGTCATTTGGTCTAGATCTTCAATAATAGATACTTGTTATTTAGTAACAAATTAATTGATTCTCAAAACTCATAAAGGATTTTTGAGATCATGATTATGATTAATCAACTAATTATCGGTCATAAACCGATCTGATCTATAGGTATACCCAATCATACGATGATATGATGGCCATGAGAAGGGATGTCCTATTAGTGGGTAGGCAGCATCGTTGTAGGGTAGTGCTGTAGTACAATATATGCCTACTGACCATGCTAAAGGTGGTACATGTTGTGGGTCCATGAACAAGACACTTTACCCTGATAGTTCTAGTCTGCCTAGCTGTACAAATAAGTTCCAGTAAGCTGGAAGTGGTCCTATTAAAGACTAGTGTCAATCCAGGAAACTGACAATGCTGTGAAAGTTAGCTCGACTCGGAATCATAAAGAATAACTATGCTAATTAAACAATTTCAAGAAATATAGCATGAAAGTTTTATTTCCTATTGTCACCGACTTTATTCCACATTTAGTGTGTTTTCCAGTTGGCCTTAATTATGAGCAAATATGCTAAAACAGTACACCTTTGTTATGAATATTATACATCACACTTATGTATACAGTGCTACTGGTTGGAGCTATATATTTTGATAGCCACTTACTGTTTTAATTAAAGAAATGTTATTTCATGGACACAACATAAATGTTACTTTTGTTATGCATGGTTAATAAATAATAGTATGAAACCCTGGTACGGGCAAGATTTTCAATTTGAGCGTCCCGTTAGAAATTTCCTACCTGTATATTATACATACCAGTCCTATGTAAATATTGTGAATGAGAAGTGTACATGTGGGTACAAAGGTACCCAACTTACTATGTAGTATATAGCTAGCTATTAGTATTTTTAGTGTTCATGGATGGTAGATATGCATTACTATATATTTATGTATTTTACGGCAATTATCAACTTTTACTCTTAATGGCCAGGAACACAGGGGGTTACATTTCAGGGCAGACAATTTTGCTTTAAGTGCAAAAACTATTTACTCTTATTACCCGGCAAGTACCTTCTGGAATAAATATCGAAATAATTGAATGGCTCGCTATTACTACCTGGTGGCATATATCTGATCATGTACATGCACACAATCCAACGCATTTAGTAAATTCTATGTTTTGATATGGATCGGTGAGCACAGTAGTGTATCTCGCCATCCTTTATTTCCATTGATCATGTCAATTACACTTGCATCTGTCACATAATCAATTTAACCTACAACAGCTTGTATAGGTGGCAAACACACTTCTGTATTAGAAATCCCTCTATGTCAGTTGCATTTGTGGACCAATATGAATTATTGATTTCACGGTGATGAGAGAGTGGTCATTGTTGTGATGCTGGCCTCTACCGGACAATGACCTTTGTTCCGTCCCCAAATGAAAGCCTAACTCAATAATGATATAGATTACATGATTACCCATATCATGTATGAATGTAACAAAATATTAATTTAATAACATATATTACATTGATTCCATTGGCATCGAGACTCATTACAAATATTATCACAAATTCTAATCAATATGTCAGATATTTAAGTCAGCGGGAATGTGTCTTTTAGTGAAAGGTATCCATGGTAGGTTAGTTTCTTCATCACTTGACTAACAAAATACAATATAACGCTATTTATAAAAGAAAAAGCTGTATATATGCGTAAATGGATACCAACAAGGATATATGTATATCCTCCACCATTATGTACTTGTAGTATGTGTAGTACAGTAGCCATGTATATCTATTGATGCTGTTGGACCTAACCAGAACGATGGCATGCTTGGAATGTTCACAAGGTTACCACTGCATCACTGCATATGGAACAAATTTACAGCTGCATAATAAATATGTGCAATTAACTTTACTGTCAAATTTACAGATCCATACAAATGAACATCCGCTTACTTACCTGGTAAGTTAGTACTGCATCTCTTTGGGAGTCATCAAGGCTATGCAAGTCAAGGTTAGGTTTTAGCAGGGCAGTCTGGTGCATCTGTCCTGGGAAAGATGTACTTCGACGAAACTTGGACGGTGATATCAATGGTGTCGACTGACCGACACGATGGTACTGGTTGTTAATACTGGGTTTCTTAAGAACTGGATTCATACTGGGCATAGATCTTCTTTGCTGGGGTACATTTGCCCATCCCGCAGGGAAAGATTGTGTTTGTTGTGACCATGATGCTGGTTGGGGGGCGTTACTCCAGTTGGGATATGATTTAGAATTGTTATTCATCATCATACCCTGTCGTTGTGGAAAGTTATGATGTGCTGTTATCGCCCTCCGTGGGGGTGGCTGTTGCTGAGGGGGAACGTTCATCCCCATATGGGATGCCAGTGCAGCGTTAAACATGTTATTAGCAGTAGGAGGAAACTGTTGGAATGCAACAGTACCATTAACTGAGGGAAACCCTTGGATGAAACTGTCATCTGTTGCTGCGTTTGACCAAAATGCCGGAGCGGCAGACGACATTGAGATGACAGCTGTTGTCGTACCGTTAGTGACCTCGCCAGCATTCATGGAACTTGTACTCACATTACCGAGTAAATCAGGCCGTCTATCATCCAAATGCGCATTAGTGTCAATTTTTCCGTTCTTAGCATAGTTCTCGCCATTTTGATCAGTTCCATTTTCAGAATTCACTTGAAGTTGCTGAGTCTGTTTACTGGTCGATTTTTCGAGTAAAATGTCATCTTGCATGGTACGAGTTGGCGATGAATCAGATGTAAATAAACCTTTGCTCGGTAAAATATGCTTGTTATTTAAAGACGTTAAACCTCCAATATTGGCGGATACAGCTATTCCGTAATCCCCCATCAGAGAGAAATAGTTCCAGCTGAAATATTGGGGGAGTTTCACCGTGTTCTCTTGATCGCCTGCGCCACGTCTGCTATCGATGTTACTGCACTGCACAACTGCGTTTACTTTCCCAGTGCTCCATTTCCGTTATGGCGAAGAAGTTTCGAGATCACCATATGCAAATTACCTCCACTCAGATAACCTTTCTTTTTAATATTTTCAATTAAGAAATTGAATGAAAAAATGCGGCATTTTTTATTCTCAATAAATATGTCCTTTTTCTACCAACATAGGGTGTTTATTATTTCGTTTTAATATTTTTTCGTGTCTTGGGGATCTCGAAACTATTTTTTCTCTATACAGTTGTAGGGCCAAAAAGGGGCGGAGCCAGTCATCCATGCGGTGAAACGTCAAAGTCTCATTTGTTGCTGATAGATTGATCGTATGAGATCGATCAGATGCTCACGTGTGATTAATAGTCGTATAACACACACCCGTTATGTGCTGAACACGTGGATGCAATCGGGAAACAGTTTTAGACATGCATAATATATTCAGAATAGTTAATAAATACGAGCATGTGTGTATGACAGAAACGCGGGAATATTTATGATTGATCGCTTGACAAAGCTTCATTTATTCGATTGAGAAAAAAATCGAATCGTCCTATTATGAATGAACGTCAGGTGTTCGAATTAATGGTGTCATTAAATTATGAAAATATCCATTTACTGTATTATTTTTATTTATTTATTTATTTATTGATATTTAGAGCCAAGGATGTGTCTAAGTTACTTCTTAACTAAGAGGCAAGAGTTTTATTAATTGATAATTCTCATATTTTACCAATATTTCAAAGGCACCTATTGCATGCGGAAATGAAATATTTCTATATCAAAAGCAGCATATAAAAAACCCAGCATAAACTATCCATTTTTCGGCTGAAATGAGTTGCAGATAAGGGTCTCCTTTACCGTGCCTTTTTTCCCGTGAAGTTAAGTTGCCAAGGTGTTTAAAATTTTGGCCAGATCGTCAGTAAACCATACATATACCATACCTAGACCTTACTCATAATATCTGAATAAAAACTACTCCGCGGATGTCATGGAATATAATGTACTTTCATCGTTCATCGTTGAATTAAAAACAGTCGAAATTCAAATTAAAAAAAATGTATTTACAAATACGTCATGAGTAGGTCGTGTTGTTGAATACGTGTTTCATTTCCAGAGAATGTAAGCACTTGTTGATCTAAAAATAATTAGATTAATGCATGTGCATTTTTTTGGCACTGTACGATGTTTTATTATTATAATTATCAAAAACTACTGAAAAAGCTTACTAAAATAGAACACATTTGAAGTTAACATTGAGAGTAATACCAGCTATAAACTAGAAGCATAAAGTGGTATTTCTTTTCGTGATCATTCGTCCAGGAAAAACAAAAGCCATTACATATTTATAAATTATATAAAATCATATTTATAATATTACTTTGTCTTTCGAGAAATAAAATCCTCGGAAAGACAAACCTATATGTTTTAGTCGTTGGGTGATAGGTTTTACACGGAGACAACTTGTTTAATCATGATATATAACTAAAGGTTTTATTTACTTATTTTTGTTTTAACGTCCTATTAACAGCTAAGGTCACTTATACTCAAAGGATGAGTATACCCATTCTGTACTCAATAATCTGGTCAGTGTTTTAGTGTGTAGGGCTGACTTGTAAATAAGGTTTTTCGTTATGGCTGTTTTCTCTGTTATTTCATGCAAATGTGCAACACCACACGTTATCTGCAGGGTATTTCATTTCACGCGAGTCACACGTTATCTGCAGGGTATTTCATTTCACGCGAGTCACACGTTATCTGCAACCCACTGTACCCAGTACACACACAATTGACCTTACGTGGACCGCAAGCTTAATTTAATAGTTAAATAGGCATGCACCATACAGATAGTGACTTTCCGTATTTCAGTACCGCTCTTACCTATAGGTAATAAGGTATACACTTCTAATAAGTGATGATGCTGTGAATCGGATTGTAAAACTGCCATTAAACATTCAGTGACGTGTCGTAAGTCATTCACGTTATCCCATTTTACATTAAATTACAATAAAAAGTATACGTCAAATTAGATAACCATAACTTGTCAAAATAATATCGGTAATATTTACATAGTTATCTTATGTTATTGAGATAACATTTTTCATCCTGATAAAAATTACTGTCGATATAATTCCCATCGGTCTGACGAAAATATAAATGTTGCTTTAATTTGTTTTTACCAATTAACTTATACGGTAAAACATTAAATTGATATGTTATAAATATCACCTGTAGGCCTAGCAGCGCTAGATATCTACCCAACTTCATGTGTGTCAATACAATCCAAACGGAACGAAAAACAAACGCGTTAACAAAGTTTATTGAAAACAGTTTGATTAAAATAGAATCCATTTGGAAAATGACGTGACGTGAACGAATATTCCGGCACGACGTCACTGTTTCTTAAATTTGTGTACTGCATGAACCCATCGTTACGTCATTCTATATGATGGAAACATTGTTTAACTGTCGTTATACTTTGTAGCATTTGTATGCTCTCTCTATATATATACCATCACTAGGCCTACTACTAAATATATATAATCTTATTTTTTACTAGCATGTCGCAAAGTGATGCGCGCTGCTATTTGTTTATTTCCAAACTATCATATATATCTACATATGCTTATTTACCTACAAATACCCACTATATTTGTGTAGTCCTTAGACTGCGTATGTGCTTTAATTTGTTGTCAATATTGTTAGTGTCAACTGACAACACTATATATATATATACATAATGCCCTGGATACTAATTTACGTCCAGACTCGGTTTTGTTTAACATCTATTAGGAAACATATGTATTCTTTCCAGTGTTAAAAGTAATGATATTCCGAATACATGTAGGTCTATTACGTATGCAAACGTCATTAAATTGCAGAAAAAAAATGCCAGAGGGTGCCAGAAGGCGTTGATAAGAAACTACGATTCGAACGTAATACATGTACTTAATTATTAACATTTCTTTATGTACAGGTGTCTATTCCTTTGGGAAAATATCGAGAAATTTATTCGAAAATTACATTCAAGAATAAGACAATTTTGCAAAATAGCTTTCTGAATAAGAAGAAATAGAATTGCTTCGAATTAAAAATATTTTGCCATATCCACTTAGCTGTGTCGATTTCCTGAGTAATTGTCAAAATATCAATCTATTTTTTTTTTTTTTGTTATGTCATTTCCTGAAAAGTAAATTATAAAATAGCTTCACCAAAACTAAATGAGAAAGAAACGGGTATTAAGATTTCCGAACGTAGTTTGCGTTGCTGTATAGAGCACGTATGTACGGAAGAGCATTAGGGCCAAGGAGAAAAATAGTAATTTCGGGTTTTTTCGTGTAAGTTACTCGAAATTTCGAGTGAGGAAGTCGAAATGTACTGTCGAAATTAATATTTATCACCCTAATGCTCTTCCGTACAAAGCCAAACATGACATGTCACCTTATAGATACGAATATTCATGCTCCATCATGTAATAATACAAACCATTCTGGAACGAAAAATGAGCTAAAATTAAAACCACTTTAGAAGAAGATAAACTAGAAACAAAACTTTTCTAGAACGAGAGTCAGCTAGAATAAAGTAAAATCTTAATTTAGGAATCCACTTACAAATATATATATATAACATTAGTCTAAAAGTTACTCATGAAGTCGAATTTCACAAATAACAAGCTCACAGATTACGCTTATCTAAGGAGATACACTAAATTCTACGATAAATGAGATATCCTTTGCATTTGAAACTACAGGTAAAATTACAGGTAAAATGAAAACAGCATGTTCTTTTGAAATAACAACATCAGCGTCTAAACCACGTAACTATCTTACAGTCAACTTATCTGACCGGGGGGGTATCATTACGCTGTCACATTGCTTCATCATATAAGTAAGATTAGGTAGGGTCAGGTGTAAATATAGACCAGGTGAGGCTAGGCTATGACCTGACTGGGGACATTTGTTAAATAACTGTGATGATTGGGGACTCCCCCCTAGTGGAATCTATGGGGCAGCACCTCATAGTCAAATGGACTAACCCCCCCTCCAAATAAAATATATAAATAAAATGAGAAATGAGATGGCCAGTTATTTCGGACTAAAAGAAAAGCTGATACTAGATGGAACCTTATATAAATCAGAGGGATATCTTGTAAAAACCTTTATTCACATAGAAAAAGAAGGACAAAGTGTTGCCCAGGCAACTAGAACAATACCTCTGTATCCGCCACTTTGACTGGCGGGTCACTTTGACGTATATCCTGGTCATTAGCTGTGGCAGATTGTTTACCTCTGTGATCAGTTTTTTTTTATTAATCGATCTGTTGAGACGTATACAACCGGTCGTATATAGTCTCTGTATGTCACGCCTGGTTTCTGTACAGTTTTGTTCACTTTCTTTTGTTGCAATGTGACTCAATGATAAAAATGGTTGATATGTAATAGACACCATTTGATTGATTCGCTTATTTTGAAGTAAGAAAATGAGCTCTTATAAACCAGAGGATGCAATTTTAGAGAATATTGAGTTATGTTTAATTTTAGACTGCTGCGCATAAAACATAGTGTATTTTCTTTCTAAACAGCAGCATGATTTCCTAAATCATATAAAGATTAAAAAAGCCAATATTCCCTAAATCACAACTTATATTTGGATAGTCCAAGCATCACTGCAACGCAGTTTAGATATGTTAGAATTGTTGAAAATTGGTGTATTTTGGACTGGAACTTGTGATATCACTGTGAAGACAGGAAAATTTATTAGAATTAGGAACCCGAATGGAAACAACACTGTGGCAAATATTTTGGCAGAATTTAGGAGGGTCATAGACATTGTTGACCAGTATTATGCCCTTGCTGACATTCACAAAGCTACCCGGAATTTGATCAGGGTGTTGACAATACAACTATCTACCAGCTATTGTCGCAATTTTCCATTGTTCTGGCATTGTTCAATTTAACGAAGACAACATGTCTGTCTACACACCGACTCAGCATTGAAAAACACTGGAAACAGTGAACGTAGTCGAAA